ATAATGATGAAATAATTTTTAATATTTATATTATTGTGTAAGTATGTATATATTATATAATATATAATTAATTATGTTAAAAAAATAAAATTACATCTTTTTTAATTAAAAATCAAATATTAATTAATAAATTAAATACTTAAATGTATATTAAAATAAAATTATGTTACAAATAGTTAATAGTTAATTGTTAACATTAATACAGGATAAATTTTGTATAAAAATTTAGATAAAGTTCCTTATTTATAAGAAATATTTTCTTATTTCCTTAATTTTTAATAGATAAATTTTATTTATAATTATTATGATTTTAATTTTTTACATGATATGTTGTGATATTTTTTATTAATTAATATTTATAATTTTAAGAGATATAATTAATAGTTTTATTTTTTATAAAATATAATTATTCATAATATATTAATTCAAAAAAAAGAAATCATAAAATGATATATAAAAAATTGAAATGATGAGAATTGTGAGTGGAGGTTTTTTATTATAAAAAATTAAAAAATTTTGACCCGTAATGTGGACCCGGATCCAGATCCTTATTAACTGAACCCCGACATAATTGAAGATTACAAAAAGGATTAAAACACTAATCACAGTTCTAATTAGGAAACTGAGAGGGCTAATAAAATTCAAAAAAGTTGCGCACGCGCACCGTATCATTTCTCTTTCTTATGCTTGTTTTCGTCTTTCCTTTATTGTTTGAGCTTTCCCTTCAAAAACGGTCCCTTAGCTTCACCGGCACGTGTCTCGGTCGTTCGTTTCTGTGCAACTGCCCCCTTACCCGCCAATCACGACCTCCGGTCACGTGCCGATCCTCATTCTTGCTTCTTTTGTTTTTCAAGGTCCGCCATGAGAGAACCTCAATTTTTAGATCTCTAAGTTGTCAATCTGAATCTGCAATTTAGATTTAGATTTTGAATTTATATTTTTAGATAATTTAATACTTTCCGTTTTGGAGCTATGGCGACGAGGAACCGGACGCTGATATTCAGGAAATACAGGGATGCGTTGAAGAGCGTTAGAGTCCCGGCGAGCTTGTCGTCGGCATCGGCATCTTCGGTGGTGGCGGCGACGAGCTCCGGCGGAGGACCGGTGATTGAGATGGTTAGTGCTTCGTTGCTCCATCCGAATCGGTCTTATGCTCCTCTAAGTACCGAGGATCCTGGGAATTCAAGGTAATATTACATTTCCAACTTTATTATTAATCATATTTATTGTTCCTATTAATTTGTTAATAAAAGATCAAGAATTCAAGATCGAGATCAAAGCTTACTTTTTTCTTGTAGGTATGTGTAAATTTATTCAGATATACTAATTAGTTAGCTTAATTAAGGTGAGTTTGTCTCCTTCTCTATTAATTTATTCTAAAATTGCTCTAAAGAGTTTAAGCTAAGGAAAAGTTTAATAAACTGTTTAACTTTTATCCAAAATGATTATTTTTTCCAAGGAATTGGCATCGTACAAATGAATGTGATTGAATTTGTTTGTTGATCAGTTGATAATTCTTGAGAATTATTTAATTGTAAGATATTTTAAATCATTTCGAAAGAGCTACAGAAATTATTTGGAAGTTTATGCAGAACAGTGGAAGATCAAGGCTTTGCAATGATGGATTGTAGATATAGATTAGAATTGGGTTATCTTCTGAAGTTTAATTCCTCTTTCGATTAGTTATGTGTTCATCTATTACTTTGTGTGAATGGTCATAAATTCTGTAGTAGGAAAATAAGGAATTGTCTGCTGTTGCAGTAAGGGAGCAGTTACGGTGGGTCTACCGCCAGCTTGGGTAGATGTGTCTGAAGAAATAGCAGCAAATGTGCAACGTGCTCGGACAAAAATGGCTGAGTTAGCCAAGGCTCATGCAAAGGCTTTGATGCCTTCATTTGGTGATGGTAAAGAAGATCAACGAAATATTGAGGCTCTTACGCATGAGATAACTAATCTGTTGAAGAAATCAGAAAAGAGATTACAGCAACTCTCTGCAGCTGGACGTTCCGAGGATTCAAATGTCAGGAAAAATGTTCAGGTAATGCTTAGTGGCCTCAAGTTTACTTGTGTAGCTCTATTTTCAGGTTAGTAAACCTAAATCATTTAGGCCAGATGGTTGCCATTCACTTATTCATTTGTATGTTGATTCTAGCATGTTGCTCAGTGATTAGTTTATAGTCCTAATTTTACAAGTAGCAGAATTTAGTTTCCAACTCTTGAGATGATGTGTTTTGGAGAGATTGAGACAAACAAGACACACTGTCTGGTGCTCCCTCTCTCTTCAACCATTTGTTGTTGAGGCTAAAAGACTTTTCCTTATGGAATTCATTTATTCTTGGGATGTATGCTTCCTTTCCTTCTTCCCTTCCTTTGTGATGGAGACATAAAAAGGTCATCTTTGATTTTCTAGCCCATACATCTGTGTCATTGCAGAGGGGAAGATAATAATGTCGCGTCTGGTGCTGTTCTTTCCCATTCCCTCTGATGTTGTTTGCATTTCATTCTTTTCTTGTTTTTCCGCTTTTTGGCAGCGTTCACTTGCCACTGACCTTCAGAACCTTTCAATGGAGCTTCGGAAAAAACAGTCAACTTACTTGAAGCGCCTCAGGCAGCAAAAAGAGGTATAGAAAGAAAACTTCCTTATTGAGAGTAAGGCATAGTATTATATATGGTTGCAGTTTCACATGCTAAATGGTCAAAAAAATTTCAATTTAAAACTTATTCCTCCATTCATTTCTGTGTTTTTGCACTCTTATAATGCATTTTTGTACATGTTTTTGTTGTAACTAAATTATTGGTTTCTGATACAGGAGGGTCAGGATGGAGTTGATATAGAGATGAATCTAAATGGAAATAGATCTAAAGTAGAAGATGATGACTTAGATGATATGGTATGCTGGTGTCTTTGAACCCTTTCCTGTTTAATGTTTCTATTATATCTGATCAATCGGAACACATTTTAGTAAACATGAGTTTTGGGGTGCTGAATTCCCAATTTTAGGATCTTGAAGCTCAGTTGTGTGTTGGACATCAAGCCCAAAATGTGCCTAATTCAACTTCCTTATCTCTTCTTTGTATAATGATATTAGGCTTTGATGGTTTAGGGTCTTTATCTAGATTCCAGTTAGGTGTTAGATACTAATGTTTCACAATTATGTCATTTAGGTATTTAATGAGCATCAGATGGCAAAGCTAAAACAAAGTGAGGCATTCACAGTTGAGAGGGAAAGGGAGATCCAACAGGCAAGTGCATTACTGTTAGTATTTTTCTTATCTGATGCTGCTGTCATGGCTATGCCAAACTAATTATTTATATATATTAACATACATTTTGTAGGTTGTGGAGTCAGTAAATGAGCTTGCGCAGATTATGAAGGATCTGTCAGTTCTTGTGATTGATCAGGTAAAAATCCATCTACCCTTGGTAATTAGTTTCAAACTTTTCCAGATTCATTGAATGCAGTTCTCTGTCCAAACAGGGCACGATTGTTGATCGGATAGACTACAACATTCAGAATGTTGCAACTACAGTCGAAGAAGGCCTCAAACAGCTACAGAAGGTCTTTCTTCTTTGTTCACTATTGATCTACTTTTAGATGTTTTCTTCGTCTTTCTCTTACTCTCATATGTATGGGGCTTGCAGGCGGAGAGAACACAGAAACAAGGAGGGATGGTGATGTGTGCTACAGTGCTTGTTATTATGTGCTTTGTCATGTTGGCCCTCCTAATCCTCAAGGAGATACTTTTTTGATCTGCAAGCATGGTTTTCTCCTGACCATTTTCCATTTTGACCACGATGTGAGACCATTATTTGACAAGTCGAAGGTCAACAATTTCCTTGCCCAGTAGAAGAATGTGGGAATTTTGAATTTCCCCACATTCACATACCACTTTAAATGATCATATTTACTCATCTTCTTTTCACTTTTCTGTCTTTTGAAAAATTCTGGAAAAGAAAAACAAAAGAGAGGGAAAGGCAGTTGTTTGACCAGGGTTTCGAGTACCAGATAGGGAAAGGATGCCCCAAAATCTGTATAGAGAGCTTATAATGTATTCTTTTCCTTCAGCAAGGAGATGTATTGATTCTTTTAGACTCCTTGGGGAGTTTTTGAGCTGGTTCCCATATGAGGAGATGACGCTTTGCGTATCTACTTGTAACGATTCTTTTGATTTTTAAAAAATGACATAAATCCAGTTTGCTGTGATATAGTATGAGGCTCTTAGCATTCTGCTGAAATTTCCCCTTGAATTTGTAATGGTAAAAGGCTGCCGCTTAAACTGAGAGCAAGAGGCATCTCTCTGGTTTCCAAAAAGATTTTTGGAAGCCAAAGGTAACAGCTTTCGTAGCTCAGATGGTTAGAGCACCCGTTTAGTAAGCGGGAGGTCTTGAGTTCGACTCTCAACGAAAGCAATTTGCTGTTTCCTTCTTATAACATATTTTTACCGACGTACCTGTCACGAAGTCATTACCCTCTCCCTCATAAAACGCGTTTACCAGAGCGCGCAGCACAACCTTCCGACAACATCCCGTTGCCGTTGGCCACCCTTGCCTACCCCGATCCGTTGGGGTCACTCAGCCTGGCGCTTGGCGTGGTCCATGGGAGTCATTACCTTTTCCCCAGCAAACGCGCTTAATGGGGTGTGTAGCATACCTACTTATAAAGAGCCAAAGACCTCCTATTTCTGTCCAATATAAGATAGAGGCATTTTACTCGTGACATACCCCTATGATTGGAATCCTCCTTTGTCCTCTTATTTCAGAATCTATCAAACCTTCTCTCTTGTTTTTGATTATCATGGAGACTGCAATGGAAAAAGGTTGTCAATTCTGTGGAAATCCGTGCAGTGACAATTGAGACAATGCTCTCTTACAGCACTGTACAATGACTTTCCCTTGTCAACAAAACAAATCAAACCTTTCTATGGTGCTTGCTGTTACAGAGAATAGAAACTAATATCCTTACACCACTGAAATATATCAGCCTATAATGATTGCTAAGTTCCAGAAAACAAAAGATGTTTTCATTCTTCAGGGAAAGTTATTGATACACCGAGACACATAGTGATTGAATGGACAAATGCAGCTTAGCATTTTATTGGTAAGAATGGGTTAAGAATTACAGTAAATAATTAAATACAGTATATAAAAGAACAACTTGAAACTAGCCTTAATTCTTTTTCCTTTTATTGTTGATATATTCCAAGGCTGTGGAAGATCTTGTCACGAGGTTTGACGGTGAGAGTTTCAAGTCAAATGTCAACATCTGTAGAACCATTGATAAGGTCCTTACATCAGACATGGCTCTGTGAGCTGAACCAACTAATGGAATTTTGTAGTGCTCACGAAGTGCTTGTAGGGATGTTCCTGATGGGAGGTTGGATCCTGTGGATAAATCAAATGTCAAACCTTCGTACGACTAAACTATGTCGATAAGAGGGTGAGGGAAAGAGAGAGAGCTCTACCTCCAGACTTAATCAATTCACGTGCCAGAGAAAGGGTGTCCATAAACAACCAATTTGAAGGAATCTCATAAGAGCAACGGCTAAATTCATTGATCAGAAAGGGTAAATCGAAAGCAAAACTATTGTGAGCAGCCCACAACACATAACCCCCAGGCTTCTGACGGCTTTTAACAAACTGCAGCAAGATTGGTATTAGTTCCTCCATCCTACACAAGGTCCATACAGTAATCTATAAGCACAACATATCCAGGTAATGCTATTTTGTCATCAAAAAGGGGAGAACTTAAGAATAAATCTAATAATTTAACATTAAAAGAAAGAAGTAGCTGGCCAGTGATATTTTCCAGCAATAAATGGGGGAAAATTTTCAAATTTAACCACTGACACCACCTATTAAACTGAATTTCTTGTTTTGATCTTGTAATGGTGGAAGAAACTCAAGAAAATAATGGAAATATTGTACCTTGGGACATCAGGTCTGCAGACCATGTTGGTTGTGATGCCATGAACATGAGAATTAGGAACATAGCGTCCAGGATTAACCAATGTCTGGAATGTACTGTTTTCGCCTCCTGACAGATCTTGAAGAGCTATCTCAATAATTCGGTCTTCTTTTCTGCTAAGACCTGAAGTCTCGGTATCGTAAATGATAAATGTCACAAGGCTGGCTAAGTCTTTGTTCTCTGCAATCATCTGTTGAATACCACTGTACTGAAGCTGTTGACTTTCACTTACTTCTGTTTTGTTTAAATTCAATGTAGAGCTGCTTGTTGAAACTTTTTCATCTAAAATTTCATGCACAAGGTTACTAGGTTTAGTGTTCCGGTTAGTCTTGCTTCTTCCGTCTATTTTTGTTGTCACAGGCCTTCTAATCCATCTCCTACTGTAACCTCCTTCAAGCCCATAGGTTTTCGAAGCAAGCAGCTTGAAGCTTGAACTGTTTACACGACGTCCACTTAAACTGTGGAAGCTTTCCCAACAAAAATTAGCTAAGCCATGGATTCCACCTCTGGGGGCTTGCAACATTGAAAGGCAAATGGCAACAGATCTCATCTGAATTTGAACTATAACAGGGCAAGCTTCCAACTATTAATCTATCCCACATCAGACAAACAATTGGCTTTAGCCTAAAAATGAAGAACGAACAAATTAGTTTACATAAAAAAACGAGAAATCAAACCTCCAAGAAAACCACAAAGAGATTTCATTTCATGAATGTGGCACATTCTTCCTTAGAGAAGAGAATAAAACCTACAGCCTACACTGGGGATTGCTTTCCATGTTTTTTTCCCATTCTTGCACATGGTAATGCCTAGAACACGAACTGCAAATTAAAAATCCTACTACTCTCAGGAAGAGCCAAAATATGAAATACCAAGTAGCAGTATGACCCTGGAACAGGTCAGATAAACTAGAACCCACAGAAACTAGAATAAAGGAGATGAAGAAAAACTCAAGCAAGTCTGAATCAGAGAAGTTTACAGATCTCGCATCATAGAAAACTATAGAGAAAGCCATCAAGGAGTGAACTTTAATCCTAATATTGAACCAAACTAATCACTATAAACTTACAAGTTGCATCTTTTAAGTCAACTTTTACACCAAAAACTGATCCAAAATGATGGAAAAATCAATGACAGTTGGTTTATTTGACATCAATATCACAATTAATAGCAAACTTGATAACTTATTCAACAAAATAAAGACTACTTAATTAATCAAAAAAACTCAATGTAATAGAATCAGCATTTCTTTCTAGCACAGAATGAAATTTCAAAGCTAGCTTCGATGATCTGAAACAAAAAATCAAGCTCATTGAATCCACATTCGATCTAACAGTTCTTAAACAAAGAATGAAACTTTAATAAATTAGCAAAAGACCCAATTTAATGCTCCATTTTGTTTCAAATACAATGAAAGAAACCCAATACCAAACGTAAAATTTGAATTCAAAATAGAAAGAATTTTCTCCTTTCTATCCACCCAAAAGCAAGTTTGAACAAAACCAACTTTTTTTGATTGCCTACTTCGGTTCTACTTTTCTTTTACAATCTCTTTCCACTTTGAAATCCTTAATACGAACATAAAACATAACCATTCCAAAAGCTTTCTCCAATTTTCTTTCAAATTCCCAGAAACCAAACACAGTGGGGAGAGAAAGAGAGACGTGCCTTGTGTTAGCAGTGATTCCAAACGTGCAGAAAACCGCATTTACGTGTTTGTGAAAAGGTTCCAAAGCAAGTATGTGTATTTATAGAGAGAGAGAGAGAGAGAATTTCAGTTTCTTTTCTGAGAGAGAAAGCAAAGGAAAGAGATTGAAGCATGTGGAACGGTGGAGTGGGGTTTCAGTTAACGACCACCAGACTCGGATTCAGTGCCTCGCCCGATCCGTACGTCTCGGGTCATCATTTGACAATTTATTTTTTTCCCAGTTTGGGTATAAATAAATAGGATAAAATGGCATATTATTTTATAAAACATTAATATTATTCAATAAAATAATAATAATAATAATCACTGACTAGGCGACAATATTTTGTTTTTTTTGACTAATTTTTATATATACAAATAGTACTCTACAACTTTCAATATTTACATCAATTTTCTCAATTTCGATAATTATAGATTAGAAGAAGTAATTTATTCGATTATTTCAAATAATTTTGTATGTTTAAATTTACAGTCGAACTAATAAAAACCGATCATTTAATCATATAAATCATTTAAATATGTTATATATAAATATCTTTAAAATATACTTCAAAAATGCCTTTATTGAAATCGAAATAACATATAGAACCAATTATTTTTGACTTATTATTATAATTCGGTCAATTTTATTTGTTTTTTTATAAAAATTTGATTAATTTAATTTTTAAAAAATTAACTTTATTAATTAGTTTTTTTAAAATATAAAATTTTTTTATATAAAAAATAAAGCATTGGGTGATTGATTAGTAGGTGAAGTTGAGGTCAACTTGGGAACATTAAAAAAAATGGAATCCTTAAAGAAAGGATCATGTCTAAATCTTGACTAAATATTTAGCTTGAGACAATAGGGCAAGTAAATGGTTTGGCTGCCGTAACCACACTCGTTGACATCAAACAATATTGTTTGAGGGGAGTTGAACTGACTTCTAGGCCTGCTCCTGGTAGGCTGCTCTGGTTTTAGTTTTAGGCTTTAAGGGCCCAAACATAAGTTTGGACTGCTCATGTTTGTGTTTTTAATTTAAATTAAATCATTTCTATCCTCTAAAAAAATATTCAATAAATTATTTAAAACATGTGCTATTGTCACAAAAGGTGACTCTATCCCACATAGGACACGGACGGAAGGTCTTGGGTTCCTTATAAGCGGCTATGCTGCACACTTCAATATTTTCTAGAGAAAGAGTAATGATCCCATGATAAGTGATATCAGAGCAAATCGAACCTCATCTGACTCACTCCAAGCACCCCAACAGATCGAGGTAGGCAAGGTGACTGACAGCAACGAGGGCATTGCCGAAATCGAGTGAGAGAGAGTGTCACAAAGGGTACCTCTACCCACATCAGACAGGAATGAAAAGTCTTAGGCTCCTTATAAGCGGGTGTACTGCACACTCCAGTAAGCGCGTTTTCTGGGAAGAGGGTAATGACTCAGTGACAAGTGATATCAGAGCCAATCGGACCTCATCCAACTCAAGCCAAACGTCCTAACGAACCGAGGTAGGCAGGGGGCCGACGACAACGAGGACCTTGTTGAATCGAGTGGGAGAGAGTGTTACAACAATGTCTCTATCCCATATTGGATAGGAACGGAAAGTCATGGACTCATTATAAACAGGTGTGCTGTTTACCCCAGTAAGCAAGTTTTCTGGAAAGAGGATAATGATCCCGTGATAAGTGTTATCATTGGATAGGAACGGGAAAGTCATGGACTCATTAATAAACAGGTGTGGCTCTGTTATCAGAGCAGAACGGATGACAAGTGTTATCAGAGCAGATCGGACTTCATCCGACTCACGGTAAGCACCTCAAAGGACCAGGTAGGCAGGGTGTCCGACGGCAACGAGAGCATTGCCGAAATCGAGTGAGAGAGTGTCACAAATGGTACCTCTATCCCACATCGGAGAAGAACGGAAAGTACTGAGTGTCACAAATAGCACTTTTATCCCACATCGGAGAAGAACGGAAAGTCCTGAGCTCTTTATAAGCGGGTGTACTGTACATCCCAATAAATATATTTTTTGGAGAGAGGATAATAACCCTATGACACTATGCCTATCTTTTTTATTTTAAAAGATATATTTATTAGGTGGAGAAAGATTTTTATAACTTAAAAAAAACCCCTTGATGAAAGATTCCGCTTAATGAAAAAGTTGAGTAACTATAATATTATTTGTCATAAATTTATATTTTTAATTCAAAAATTATATCTAAAAATATTTATTTATAAGTTTTATTGATGTAAAATCAGTGATGAAACATATTTGCTTGAGCTTTATGAATTGGGCACTTTGAACTCTATGAATCCATTCCCTTACCACTTATATGAGCAAATGCCATATTTGTTTAGGTCTTTAAGCATTTTCCTTTGCCTGAATCATAAACAAATACAGTGGAATTGCTTGGATGATAGCAGATATGCAATGGCTGTCTACTTCAAAAAAAAGGTAAAAATCATTGTTCATTGATTCCAAAATTTACTATTTACATTATGATTGAGCCATCATCTGACCAACCTCAAAAACATTAGTATTTTTTCTCCTTTGACTTCCCCTCAATTCTCCAAAGAACAATAGCCAAAATCAAAGGGTATTTTCATTTCACTAAGAAACAAAGGGCTAAACTAAGAAGACAAAAAAAAAAGACATTGTGAAAAAAAAAATGTAAAAGATGTTATGTGGGTTGGGTTTTTTTTTGGTAACCCCCATTTTTGGTTTTTTGTCTTGTCTCTTCCATTTTCAAGCAAAAACAGAGCCACAGGACAATGCCATCAAAGAAAAAGCAGCTTGTTCTTCCTCTCCCAGCTTCCTTCTCCTTTGGCACCTCTGCTTCTTCACCACCCCAGATAATAATGATGATGATGATCTTTGCAACAAAACTTCACTGCCCAAGGCGTATAATCTCATCTTCACAGACTCACTCAACCCATTCAATTGCCGACTGGGTTTCTTATCACCAACATTTGTTGTAGCAACAGAAGCAGAGCTGGTTGTGCCGGTGGTGGTGGAGCTGCCGTGTGAAGACTGTGATCTCTCTTTCTTCTTCTCTGCTCCTTTGTTCAAACCCAACATTGCTCTTCTCTTTTTCCTGTATCTGATCCCACATGCATTGCACAGTGACTGAAATTACCAAAACACATTAGATCATAATCCAGAATCATTCAAATCAAAAGTAGAAAATTTTATAGATTGGTGATGATTAACAACCAAAATACAAAGGATTACTGTAAGTCTATAAGCAATCAAATGAGACAAAGACTCAGTTTTAGCAGAGAAGAGCCCATGAAAATGATTGTTAAAGAAAAAAAAAAGGAACAAACTCAAACTTCAAGATTATGATGAAAACGGAAAGTGAAAATACCTTGGGGCCAGCAGGGCCACCCCTCCAAAGAGGGGTCTTTGTGGTTTTGCAATCAGTACAAAACTTCTTGTTGTTCTCACTCATCATCACAGCTTCGCTCAATGATTTCTGAATCATCAAAAAGAAATGAAATCAGTACATATATAAAAAAACCAAGCTTTGAATTTAAAGGTGATTTCTTGACTCACCTTTTCTCTCAGATCCATTACACCCATGAAGCAACTCTTCAAAGATCTTTGATCAAAACAGAATGGTAAAGAATAAGAAAAAAAAAGCTAGAGCGGCTTGATGGATATTGAAATACCAAGTTTGCAACTATCAGAAGAAAGCTTTATCATTTCCTTGAAAAGAAACAAACAGAGGAGACGAAATGAAACAGAGAGAAACAGGGAGAAAAGAGAGTGAGCTTTTATCTCTCAGAGAACAAAACCCAGAACCCCAAAAGGAAGAGAAAACGCTAAAAATTTGCTAATGAAAATGAGGAAAAGTGACGCCGAAAAGGATAAAAGAGAAAGAGAAGAGAACCGACAGGGAATGAGAAGGGTGGACAGGGGATACACACAAAAACCCTAGACAGAGGGGCATTAAAAAGACGCTAATACCCCTGATGACAGCAGAGCGCCGCTCCTCTGTTCTTGAAAAAATGTGTAGGTTTTTTTTCTTTTTTGGGGAGGGGGGTTGTCGGGAGAGGAACACCCGCCAATTTTTTGAGATGGGTGTTGTCCACGTGGCAACATGCACGAGGGGGTGAATTTTCAGATGCTCAGCTGTCAATTTCTTTTTTCTTTTTTGCTAAAGGTTATTTTTTTGGCTTTTTGGCATCAAATATTTTTCTTTTTTGGGAAAAATGCCTACTTCATTTTTTTTTAATTTATGAAATGATTTTTCTTATATAATGATAAATTCAAATAAAAAATAATTTATTTTTATAAATTTATTTACCCAAGTAAGTAAAAAAGACATGATTTTGATTTGCATTTTTTTTGTTAAAGTTACCATTTTTATCAAATATCCCACGAAACTATAACAGAATATTGAAAGTAAATTACACCAAGAATATCAATAAACATTGATTATAATCCAATATTTTATATTATTCGATTCGATTAAATAAAATAAAAGTATTTTATAACAAAATGAGTAACATTACGGTAAGTTCACCTTTTATAAGAATGATAATATGGTAAGTTAGTGAAAATGAAAGTTAATTAAACAAAGAAAAATAAATAAATACTACATAATCAAATATCTTATGTTTTTTAATATCCGTTACGAATTCCATCATAAATTACCATGTACAAAATTGTTAATATGGCATGTCAATGAAAGAGAAAGTTGTAAATGAACTTTCATCCATTTGTACAGAGAAAAAACAAATTCTTTATTGGTGCCATGGCTGGTGAGGAAACAAACCAATGTGTTGCAGAAAGGCCTGGGAAGGTGTGGTGCTGAAGGCTGTGTCTCCAATGGAAATAATCAAGGTTTGATTGCATTGTTGGCTTTTAACTTCCCCATGCTTTCACACAACATTTAAGTGACTTTCCATCAAAAGCTGAGCTCTCTCTCTCTCTCTCTCTCTCTCTCTCTATATATATATATATATAGAAGACAGTATGTGTTCTTAGAGGAGAAAAAAAAAGGCTGTGTAATTTCTCGGTACCATAAAATTATGTATCATTTGATCATAAAATATTAACCGATATTGAAACAATAAAAACTTAGAAGCCTTGAAACGTAAACAAAACAGATAAAACAGTATGGTTTCACCGTTTGAACTGGGCTTTTCTATTTGTCTTGTAATTGTAAAAGCTTTGGAAAGGGCTAAACCGAACAACTGAGACCCTAAATCCATAGAAAATTAGAACCTTGTTGAGCCCAACCTGCTCCCTATTTAGCTTTTCATCAATCTTGCAATATGAGTTAAAAGAGTTCAAGCGTAGGCTCTTGGAGCAATAGTTTAGAGTTTACCTCCTGGTTTGGACGCCCTTTGCATCTGATTCCTTCTTTTTGTCAAGTTTCACAGTGATGAAGTGATGAGGGTCTGGAAGTGCACTTCCTCTTCTGCTTTGCAATTGCGTCTCCTCCTCCTTGGTAACTCCTTTTCTCTTTCGCCTACGCTTTTCTTTTCTTCTACCTCTTCCCCCCGTTTCAACAAATCCCGGTATGCGTTTCACAAAATTGATGATGCCTTTGGTTTTGTTCGATCACATGCTTCGTACCCATCGCCGCCCTTGTGATATTGTTGAAGGAATGATTCAACAAGGTGTTGATCCTAATACTATTACGTATAATGGCATTGATGGATGGATATTGTCTGCAAGGCAAAATGGATGAGGCTAGAAAGATTCTTAATTTGATGATTACCTAACGTTTATGGTTACAGCATCATGGTGAATGGATTTTGTAAATTGCAAAAGATTGATGAGGCCAAGGAACTCTTTGATGAAATGTCTCGAAATGGAGTAGTCCCTAACACTGTTACTTACACTGCTCTTATAAATGGCATGTGCCAAGTAGGGAGACTTGGGGCAGCACGGGAACTTTACAAAGAAATGAGTGCTCGCGGCCTCGTTCCAGACTCGATGACTTACTCCACTTTGTTACGTGGCTTAGTAAGCATGGTCATGTTCATGAGGCAGTGGATCTTTTTCATATTATGCAGAGCAATGGGATAGAAACTAACATTGTCCACTATAGTATCTTAATTGATGGGCAACTTAATGTTGCAAGGAAATTATTTCATTCACTCCCAGGCAAAGGGTTACACCCTAATGTTTATACTTGCAATATCATGATCAAAGGACTTTGTGAAGAAGGGCTACCAAACGAAGCATATGATTTGTTCAGGAAAATGGAACTGAATGGTTGTTTGCAAGATAGTTGTTCTTACAATACAATGATCAAAGGTTTTTTCCAAAACAATGATGTGTCAAGGGCAGTGCCAATTTTACATGAGATGGTCGATAAAGGATTTTCTGCAGATTCTTCAACTGCAACAATGGTAATGGATTTATTGTGTAAAAATGGAGGAGATCAATCTATTCTTGAGCTGCTTCTTAGAAACTCTGAAGATGATCAAAATGTGAACATGAAATGACTTGTTATCCATCAATCTTCTATGCTGCAAAGAATTCTTGTGACCATAATTAACTTCTCCTCAAATCAGTTTTCCTGAAATTGAGGAAGAAGGCAATGTTTGTCACCTCCATAGAAGACATGAGTATTTATTTTAAGAAGACAAAAAAATAGCTGTGTAATTTCTCGGTATCATAAAATCATGTCAAAGCGGTTTGTGTCTATGTTATTCACTTACTCGCCTCCCCTACCAATGATCAAGGCAATTAAAATGTTATTTCATAAAATATTTAATATATTTCAACTGATGTTATCTTCAAATTTTAGTACCCAAAAATACACTAATTAATATTTTGTGTGTCGTGACACTTGACATGTGAGATAGATACGTGCATTTGATCATATCATCTGTCAAATATAACCACATTAACTAGTATTTTAATTACGTCAATTAATCAATTATATATCTGATGTTCATAAAATTCTAACCAATCTTGAATCTGATGACAATTACTTTCAATAGGAATTACAGATTTACTTAAATACAATCAAAATTGACAGATTTGTTTAACATAACAAAAAATGAGAAAGTTAATTAAATAAAGAAGTGATCATACTATATATGAACTTTTTGACTATTTACACCAAAACAAAACAGGGAAAAAGGCGTGGTTTCACCATCTGAACTGGGCTTTTTCTATTGGTCTTGTAATTGTAAAGCTTTGGCAACGGCTACACATGGGCTCTTCGAGCGGTGGCCGAAACAACTAGTTTTGTAACTTTTAACCGACGCCCAATCCAGAGAAATTGGAACCTTGTTGTACCCGATGGTTCCCCTCGTTTCGACGCCCTGGACATCTGGTTCCTGCTCTTAGCCATTCTGCTCAAGTTTGACAGAGAAGAAAAGAAGACGAAGATGAGGGCCTGGAGACGCACTTCTTCTTCTTCTGCTTTTCAATTGCGTCTCCTTCTACTTGGTAACTCCTTCTCTCTTTCTCCTCCTATTTTCGTTTCTTCTTTCAAATACCCATTTCTCTCTACCTCTTCCACCCGGTTCAAGAAATCCAAGTATGTGTTTCACAAAATTGATGATGCCTTGGATTTGTTCAATCACATGCTTCATACCTACCCCCGCCCTTCTATTGTTGAGTTTACTAGATTACTAGGTGCGATTGTTAGAATGAAGCATTATGAAACTGCTATTTCTCTGTTCAGACAAATGGATTTACTTGGAATCAGACATGATGTTTATACTCTCAGCGTTTTGGTTAATTGCTTTTGCCACTTGCAGTGTTCGGATTTTGGGTTTTCGCTTTTGGGAAAAATGTTGAAGCTGGGTATTCAACCTGATACTACCACATTTAACACCCTGGTCAATGGGTTCTGTTTTGAAGGTAAAATAGCTGAAGCAGTGATATTGTTTGATGAGATTGTCAGGAATGGTTACCAACCTGATTTGATTACTTATAATACCATAATAAATGGTCTTTGTAAAGTAGGCTACACTAGTGGAGCTACTAAATTGTTAAGGAACATGGAACAAAGTGGCTGTGTGCCTGACATCGTGACATACAACACAATCATCGACTGTCTTTGTAAGGATAAGCTTGTACCTGAGGCTTCAAACCTTTTGTCTGAAATGAGAGGTAAAGGTATTCCGCCGGATGTTGTGACTTATAATTCTTTCATTCATGCTATGTGTAGTTTGGGCCAGTGGAATGAAGTTATGAGATTATTGACAGAAATGGTTGCCAATAATTGCAAGCCAAACATTGTCTCCTATAGTATATTGGTTGATGCATTTTGTAGAGAAGGAAGGGTTTCAGAGGCTTGTGACACTATCGAAGTAATGATTCAACAAGATGTTGATCCTAATACTATTACATATACTGCATTGATGGGTGGATATTGTTTGCAAGGCAAAATGGAAGAGGCTAGAAAGGTTCTTAATTTGATGATTACCAAGGGTTGTGTACCTAATATTTATAGTTACAGCATCATGATCAATGGATATTGTAAATTTCAAAAGATAGATGAGGCCATGGAACTTTTTCACGAAATGTCTCGAAATGGATTAGTCCATAACACTGTTACTTACAATACTCTTATAAAAGGAATGTGCCATCTAGGGAGGCTTTCGGCAGCACTAGAACTTTTCAAAGAAATGAGTACTTGTGGCCTTGTTCCAGACATGATGACTTACTCTATTTTGTTACATGGCTTATGCACCCATGGTCATGTTGATGAGGCAATGGAACTTTTTCACGTTATGCAGAGCAATGGGATAGAAGCTGACATAGTTCATTACAGTATCATAATTGATGGCTTATGTCAAGTTGGGCAACTTAATGTTGCAAGAAAATTATTTTGTGCACTCCCAGTCAAAGGGTTGCACCCTAATGTTTATACTTGTAATATCATGATCAAAGGACTTTGTAAAGGGGGGCTACCAAATGAAGCATATGATTTGTTTAGGAAAATGGAAGTGAATGGCTGCTTGCAAGATAGTTGTTCTTACAATACAATGATCAAAGGATTTTTCCAAAACAATGATGTGTCAAGGGCAGTGCAAATTTTACATGAGATGGTTGATAAAGGATTTTCTGCAGATTCTTCAACAGCAACAATGGTAGTGGATTTATTGTGTAAAAATGGAGGAGATCAATCTATTCTTGAGCTGCTTGTTAGAAACTCTGCAGATGATCAAAATGTCAACATGAAATGACTTGTTATCCATCAGACAAAAATTCTATCCTAAAAGTTTTTCTTTGCTGCAAAGAATTCTTTGTAACCATAATTAAGTTTTCCTCATATCAGTTTTCTTGAAATTGAGGAATCAGGCAATGTTTGTCACCATTATTTGTTCTGGTTCTGTTGCTAGGTTGTAGTGGTAATCAGGCCTTTGCTTTGGGAATTTGCCAAAATCACCCAGCAATGCTATTGCAAAGACATCACCACTAACCATGACAACTACAAATTGAGACAGAACCCAATGTTTGTTTCACGAGCATCCAAAATAAAGCCTCGGATTCCTCAATTTATTGTAGCAGATCACCAAGCTCATCTTCCATCCATTTCCTTCCTTGCATGATATGAGACAGGGTGTGTTGTTAACCCAAGCCAGCCCAGCACCCTGGACAGGACCCAAACATGACAACAAGACGCCTGACCTGGAACCCAACTATTGTGCCACCGTATCCATAAGGACTTATACAGGACCAGACATAATAATCAGATATGCAAACAGCTTTTAAAACGCATAGCAGATACAACTAATAATCAGATATGCAAAATCGGAGCATCGTCTTCCCTATGTAATAATCAGATATACAATTTTTTTTACTTTGCAATTGCGTCTCCTTCTACTCGGTAACTCCTATTTTCGTTTCTTCTTTCCAATACCCATTTTTCTCTACCTCTTCCCCCCGTTTCAACAAATCCAAGTATGTGTTTCACAAAATTGATGATGCCTTGGATTTGTTCAATCATATGCTTCTTACCCATCCCCGCCCTTGTATTGTTGAATTAACTCAAGTAAGCATTATGAAACTGCTAGTTCTTTGTCGAGACAAATGGATTTATTTGGAATCAGACCTAATGTTTATACTTTCAACATTTTGCTTAATTGTTTTTCCCCCTTGCATCGTACGGATTTTGGGTTTTCGCTTTTAGGAAAAATGTTGAAACTGGGTATTCAACCTAATATTATCACATTTACCACCCTGGTCAATGGGTTGTGTTTTTGAAGGTAAAACAGCTGAAGCAGTGATGTTGTTTGATGAAATTGTGAGGAACGGTTACCAACCTGATTTGATTACTTATAATAACATAATAAATGGTCTTTGTAAAGTAGGCTACAATATTGGGGCTATTGGATTGTTAAGGAACATGGAACAAAGTGGCTGTATACCTGACATTGTGACATACAACACAAGAATTGACAGTCTTTGTAAGGGAAAGCTTGTAGCTGAGGCTTTAAACCTTTTGTCTGAAATGACAGGTAAAAGGCATTTTCTCAGATGTTGACTTATAATTGTTTAATTCATGCCATGTGTAATTTAGGCCAACGGAAGGGAGTTGAGAGATTATTGACAGAAATGGTTGCTAACAATTGCAAACTAAATGTTCTCTTATAGTGTATTGGTTGATGCATTTTGTAAAGAAGGGGAGGGTTTCAGAGGCTCGTGATATTGGCGAAGGAATGATTCAACAAGGTGTTGATCCTAATACTATTACATCTAATGCATTGATTGATGGATATTGTTTGCGAGGCAAAATGGAAGAGGCTAGAAAGGTTCTTAATTTGATGATTACTAAGGGTTGTGTACCTAACGTTTATGGTTACAGCATCATGGTGAATGGATTTTGTAAATTGCAAAAGATTGATGAGGCCAAGGAACTCTTTCATGAGATGTCTCGAAATGGAGTAATCCCAAACAGTGTTACTTACACTGCTTTTATAAATGGCATGTGCCAAGTAGGGAGACTTGGGGTAGCACGGGAACTTTACAAAGAAATTGAGTGCTCGCGGCCTCGTTCCAAACACGGTGACTTACTCTACTTCGTTACGTGGCTTATGCAAGCACGGTCATGTTCCTGAGGCAGTGGAACTTTTTCATGTTATGCAGAGCAATGGGATAGAAGCTGACATAGTCCATTATAATATCGTGATCAAAGGACTTTGTAAAGAAGGGTTACCAAATGAAGCATATGATTTGTTCAGGAACATGGAGCTGAATGGTTGCTCACAAGATAGTTGTTCTTACAACACAATGATCAAAGGATTTTTCCAAAACAACGATGTGTCAAGGGCAGTGCAAGTTTTACATGAGATGGTTGGTAAAGGATTTTCTGCAGATTCTTCGACGGCAACAATGGTAGTGGATGTATTGTGTTGAAATGGAGGTGATGAAATCTATTCTTGAGCTGCTTCTTAGAAAGTCTGAGGATAGATCAATACGTCCACATGAAATGACTTGTTATCCATCAAACAAAGATTCTGCTCTGAAAGTTTTTCTATGCTGCAAAGAAATATTGTAGCCCTAATTAAGTTCTCCTGAAATCAGTTTTCTTGAAATTGAGGAAGAAGGCAATGTTCGTCACCTCTACTCTATTTGTTTTGGTTGTGCTTCTAGGTTATGGTGGTAAGCAATTTTCATTTGCAGAAAATATAAAGAGGGGCCTTATTCCTAATACTATTTGTTTCATGCTCTTTACCCTACTTGACATACCGGGAACAATGGTGGATTCATACCAGCTTGTTTCCAATATTAATTGGTTCATATGAAATCATTGTGAATGTACCAATTTCTCGGCTTTTTTATCAATCTTAATTGGGCTAGAGTCCAAACATCGGCTCCTGGAGCAGTAACCCAACAGATCGTCTTTCACCAACCCTAAACTATTATTAGAAATTAGAACCCTCCTTTAGAGGCCCTTGATATCGGTTTCGTTCTGTTTCTTGCTGATCACTCTGTTCAAGCAGAAGCCATGCAAAAAACGACTTCAATCAACATCTCCACATTTCTGAAATTTCCCAAACTTGTTACCTGTTGGCTCTCTGATAGAAATTCCAGGCGGCCCTAGGCATCGGCTTTTTGGACTCTCCCTCTCATATTGACTAGAAGTAATCTCCAGAATCAATGTCTCTCCCAGGCTTAAAGAGGATATGGGAGGCAGCAAAAAATAACCAGTGATCAAGGTCAAATGAAAACAGCCAAGTGAGAAGAAAGAAAACCAAACCACCAATTACAGTAGTAGTAACTCTATTTCCCCTTCAAATGATGTTTTGACAAACCTTCCAACAAGGCATTGTATACACTACACAAAAAATATAAGACTATCTAAAAGAGGCATATTTTGATGCATGAAATGACAACACAACACTCCAATTACGTAGAAGCAAAAGAATATTCCCATGTTACTCATAACAAGGTGTAACTGTTTTGGGAATTGCCAAAATCACCCAGCAATGCTATTGCAAAGACATCACCACTAACCATGACAACTACAAATTGAGACAGACCCCAATATTTGTTTCACGAGCACCCAAAATAAACACTCTGATTCCTCAATTTATTGTAGCAGATCACCAAGCTCATCTTCCCTCCATTTCCTTTCTTGCATAATATGAACCTGGCTGTGTGTTCTTAACCCAAGCCAGCCCAGCACCCTCGACACCACACCCGACCCTGGACAGGACCCAAACATGACAACAAGACGCCTGACCTGGAACCCAACTATTGTTCCACCATATCCATAAGGACTTATACAGGACCAGATATAATTCCTGAAATGGTAATTGCAAACAGCTTTTAAAACGCATAGCAGATACAACTAATAATCAGATATGCATGAATTGAGCACCATCTACCCTATCTAAATAAACATAAAGGGCTTCCATTAATGTAAAACACTAATAGATAAATGAATACAACAGCAGTACCACATACCTCTAGCTGAAATTGAATCCCCCTGACGGAACATGAACCTCACCAGGTCCAAACTGAAACCCTGTTTGAGAGGCATCACCTGGTGGCATTGTCTCATCCTCCTCCTCCAACCAATATGTCTCAAGAACTTTCACAGCCTTTTCATAGATCTCAGTGTTATCATGAGACTGTAAATTCTCAATCTTCTCTAAACCCTCTGCATCATCAATCATTTGTGCATAGAGATTCACACCTCCAGTATTGCCCTGATTCTTATCAGCTTCTCCTACCTTCAAAATATTTTCAAGCCCTTCTAAACAAACTGTAACTATCCTTGGATCAGGGCAGTTAAGAAGATCACATAATGGCTTGATACAACCTTGACTTACAAGGAACCTGAAATATATGATATGCCCCGATGAGAACCAGTATATTGTCAATAATTTGCCAAGACATTATTCCAAACTAAGATGAGGAAACAATTTTCATACTTGATTTGATCATGAGTTCCACCTGATGTAGCATTTGAGATGGCCCACGCAGCTTCTTTCTTAATATCAAATTCAGCATTTTGAAGCAGATGAACCAGTGGAGCAATAATATTAGCTTCAATCACAGCCTGTAAAATTAATACGATTATACATAGTTTCAAGGTAAAAAGGAATGCAAACAAAATCATACATCCAAAAGTGATAAAACCGAGTGAAATATCAAGGCAACAAGAAAAAAGTGATACAGATCCACATGTTACCTGTATCTGCTCCTTATTTCCAGCTGTGATATTTGAAATTGTCCAACAAGCTTCCTTCTTGATGCTCTTTTTAAAATTATTTGTCAACAGATTCAAAAGGCATGGCAATGCTTGATGATTGATGATACACTGAGCGGCAACAAGGTTTGTCCAAAAATAAGAAAGACACAATGGTTCGTACAAATATAAGCAAAAAGATATTCTTTAACAACTAAACCCACTAATTTGGCATCAATTTTACAACATAAGAGGGGCCAATCAATCTGGTTTGAGTGCGAGAACTAGTTATTCACACAATCATTGAAGATAAATGGTGAAACATCAATATTCTTAAGAAGATAATTAAAAGAAGAAAACCTAGGAAGTGGCAAATACCTGGGTTTGCAGATCATCTCCTGTAACAATATTTCCAACAGTGCGAAGAGCAGGAATGAGCACTGAAGGAGATGGGTGCCTGTGAAGTCACAGAATTTCAGATTGAAGTCAGGCACACAAAATGCATAAACAGAAATAGCAAGACTTCAAGATTCAATCAAAAGCAAATAGTCTAACTCACAGCAAAAGTTCCACAAGACGCGCACATACACCCGCTTCGATAACAGCTTGAATTTTGTCATTTGTACCATCAGAAAGATATGAGAGCGCCCAACATGCATCAGTTAAGACTTCTTCATCATTTGAGTGAATAAGGCGTGCCAAAGCAGGAAGTGCAGGTTTAACCTGAACAATAATTAAAGAATCATTAGTTAGATAATAATCAATTCAACCCCACCAGCGGCTGAGAATGGTAAGTCTCAACCATAACTCACGAATATCATGCCATAGAAAATTCATAGCTACAAAACAACACTCAATATCCATAAGCCTCCTAGCAACATCTCACTTTCTGGTTTGATGTTAGCAGTGAATTGCAATCTATAATTTTCATGATCCAACAAAGAGTCTCAGATTCCAAAGACAGACAAAGGATAATGATTTTGCATCGTAAATCAATAACATTGAACATGAACAAACTTGCCATATCATGTTAAACCAAAAATAGTTCCCCAACAAATGGGGAGAAACAGGGTCCAGACCTGATCAAAGGGAGGCTGTGGCTTGCCCCGACAAAAATTTGAGAGTGTCCAAGTAGCATTTCTCAGCATAGAAAGTTTTGCATGCTCATTCAACTGTGCCAACAAAGGAAGCAAAGCACCATGGCCAAGAACAAGATCACGACATCTAGGAGAATCACCAGCAACATTTCCCAATGCCCACACAGCCTGAATGTTCAAAAGAAACAGGAAAAGAAGATTATCAAAAATTTCATACTAGCTTTTTCCAAGTAAGATTCAATTTATCTCACTTCCTAATTCTGTCAATGATCAAAATTACACAAAATTTCTTTCATATGCACACCTGCTCACGAACATCATCACTCGGGGAACCAAGTAACTTGACAAATATTGGAACAGCCCCATGATCAATTACCACCTTTGTGTTCTCAGATGTTCCAGAAGCAATATTTGTGAGGGCCCACGCTGCCTCAAACTACAGAAATATTAAATCAGTAAGACATATCTAGAAACATGAAGTGAAAAAATAATGTTGAAGCTGAAGAAAATCCAACCTGAAGCTGCGGGAAATCTTCCCTCATAAGGAACTCAACAAAGCGAGGAACAACACCAGCTTGTATTACTTCCTCAATAGGAGGGCTGCGTTCTGTAATAAATAACAAAAGATATTAAAATATATAATTTACACATTTTATGACTTTTTAAATGAAATCTATTACAGGATCAATTTCTCACCAATTGAAAGCAATTTCCTAAACTGAGTGGTTGACTCAAGCTGCAGATTACTATCCTCACTCCAAACACCAGCAACCATGGCTGGCAAATTTTCCAACTGCAGTCAAAGAGTTGAACATGATCAGAAGAATCCAACACTCAAACAAGTCATAGACATGACCAATCAGCATATCATCAAACAATTAACAAAAGCTGTCACAATATAAACTGTGGCAAGAACAGAATTTATGGAACAAGTATGCCAATTATTCACCACAACTCTGTTTAAAAGAAATTTAAAAAGAGGAACCTATTTTCCCAACTGTATTTTAATTAATCCTGGCTCAATTTCTTGCCAAAAATAAATAGGGGCAGAAATAAAGCTTCCATGCACTTACCAACAACTAACCAGGAGTGTAAACACAAAGCCAACAGCACTAAATTAACAATTAAAAAACCAACCCCTTATACAACTTGATACCATTTATAAATTACTACAACTTAATGGTTAAGCTTAACGAATTAAAAAAAAATGAACTGACAATACAAGAATAAACTGAATCGCTAATTTGAAAATTGATGTTACTGCCTTAACATAAAAGAAAAACAATCTTGGACTCAACCAGATAGCAAAATGTTTACACTACACCAGAGTTCCCAATCAGACCAACGAAAAAGCACCAAAAATAATAATCATCACCTCATCAACACATTCAAAAAAATGATACAAACTAAGTACTCGCAAGTTTAAAAACCTACCATAACATTAATCAAAATTTACCAAACCAGATAGCATAGAACAAGCTTTAACAACTTCAGCGACTGATAAAACACAGAAGAATTAAACGAGAAAATAAAACAATTGAAAAATCGACCTTTTTTTCAACAGCAGAGGAGTGGAGAGAAGCAGGCATTGGCTGCGCTTGGAGTCCTTCACGTCGCTTCTTCTGCAAACTCTCTTCACGGCGGTTCTTCCTAATCTCCACCATGTTATCCTCCCTCCTCCGCCTCCCTTCCTCGGCGTCCACCGCCACTTTGTACCTGTTCCTCCGAACCTCCGTCCTTGCGGTCGGCCTCAACGACATCTTCACTCAATTCCGGAAAAAACACAACCCAAAAGAGAACAAGACAGTGATCGCACTAAAGCCCTCAACAACTCTTTTTCTTTTTCTTGTTCTTCTTATTTTCCTCCGACTGAAAACCCTAGAGGGAAAATGATAATAAGATTTTGGGGGGATTTTGATTGATTTGAAGAGAGGGAGAGGAAATGAGGCAGAGGGTTTATATAGGATTGTTGGGCAACCGATTTTTGTAAAATGGTCGTGGATCGTGTTATATTTACGCTACTGCCATTATTATTTTCTTCTTTTCTTTTATTTGAATTATGAAGGTGGGGAAAGAAATTAAAATATATATTATAAATGAAGAAAGAAATAAGCAACTTTACGGTGGATTATGACATGTTAATTTCTTTATTTATAAGGCAAGCCAGCACATGATATAAATACTTGTTAAAATCAAAATGAAAAAAAAATATTTTTATAATTTTATAAATTTTATGATTTATCAATTAAAATTACTAGTGAACTAAAATTTTAAAAACATATTATCAAATATAAATTCAAATTATAATTTTAAAATAAAATCAAGTTCACTCTACCAATTTGAAAAAATCAAATATGTTTCCATTTCTTATTTAATTAACTTAAAAAATTAAATATTTAAAAATATATCATCGACATGTAAAAAATAAAATCAGCTTCATTGGATCAATTTCAAAAAAACCATATATATGTTTTTATTTTTCTTCATTAACTTAAGTAATTGGAGATTTCAAAACGCATCATAAAATGTGAATTCAAATAGACTACGTTTGATAAAAATGAAAAAAAAATAAATTATGTTTCTTTTTTTTCATTAATTTTAAGAAATTGAAGATTTAACGATGATTTACTTTTCTAAATGAAATTATTTAAAATAGATTTTTGAGTTTTAAAACTTTTAGCATATTTTATGTTTTTGGATAAAAGTAATGGTAATAACCAACTTTTAAAAAAAAGAATAAATCAACCCTGTGAATAATGAAATTGTATATATATAATTTGGTGAAAAAGAAAAAAGAAAAGTGAGAACTAGGGGCATTTTATGGACCCAATAAATGGCCAACAAAGCCCAAGCCCAATATCAAATTGAAGCCCAAGTGATTTTTCTTCATTTATTTAAAAAAAGTTGGCTTATTTCTTAATCCACGTGCAAATAAAGGGTCATTATTCGAGATAATAGTTAAAATGAATAAAATTTTCAAGTCATGGCAAGATGAAGTAAATAGAAATGTGATCACCTCAAATATTACGGGTCATATCATATGTCATATAAATAAAAATTGCAGTCAATATTTAATATTGTAACTGATAATTTTTCACTAAGATTAAAAGATTGATAATAAAATATTAAAAGTTTAATTGCAAAAATCAATATAATTCAATTTTTATTGAATATTTAAGTCATTTTCAATTTAATATTTCAAAAGTCATCGAGCTTATCCATAACTTATTGTCTTGGGCCTTTTGGCAGCACTTTTTAAACGACAAAAGCAAGTACAAATAAAAAATTATAATTATAATTATAATTGCAAATTATTTTAAGGAATCAATTTATAATCAAATATTGAAAGGGAATAAATTTCTAAATGATTATATTACCCTTCCTTGATTATATGTATACATGACTATAACATAATCAAATCTTTATTTTCACATTTATATACATAATTTCAAAAGAAATTATACATATTTAGAATTAACCTAATTATTGGTACCCCGATATAGTTTTATTGGTGCTAGCTGCATATTTCAATATTGCAATAAATAAAATTAAAAGAAATATAAACATAATTAGATTGTTTTGATCCTTAAGTTAGGATATAATATCAAAAGTTACTAAAACAAATCACTCATAAATTTTTTTTCCTAAGTCCAACCCAAATCAAAAGACAAAACAGAATCATTTGCAAGTTAAAACCCAGATTTCTGGTCATTTCGGCCCAACCCAAAACTGGTCATCTAGCCCTGTACCCAAGGCTTGTAAAAATAAAGATGATCAAAATCAAATAAGGTTAACTATTTACCTATATCAAATACGATTTGGGTAAAATGATTTAGTTTAATTAATTTATTAAATTAATTTATTTAAAATATTTGATTTAATTATTTTTTATCGATTTTTGATTTTAAAATTTTTAAACCGATTTACCAAAAAAAGTCAAACTAACTATATATATTAATATATATAATATTTTGTATATATTAAGAAGAATTAATAGTAAATTTAATTAATAATATATTTAAAATATATTAATTTATTATATGTACGTATGCAAATCAAATTGATAGTAATTTAATTTTAGTTACATATATATTTATTTATAAATCTGTATTAATATAAAATTATAAATTATTTATTTAAAATGATATAACTTATATATTAATATTATAATATACTATAGTAAGTATGCTATATATTAATATGTTATAATTATTTCACCTTAGTAGTGTTTCGTAATATAAAATGTTATAAATATATAAATATTATATATATCTACTTTTAATTTGTACATAAGTATTACTATAGCTTACAATATTTATTTACATGATTACACTTAATAACCTTATTATTATTATCAAAGTTTTTATAACATATTTTTTATAATTAGTTATTACTTATACAAACTTTTTTATAAAACATTATAATCTATAAGTTGTGTATTAATTTCACATATATATAATAAAATAATATATTATATATATTTAATTTATACATAAATAATACCGTAACTCATAATAGACTTTATTTGTATGGTTACACTTAATAATTTTATTAGTTATTATTTTAATTTTTATAATATACTATTTATAATTAGTTATTATCTATACAAACTTCAATATAAAAACTAAAATATTATAACATAAAAGTGATGTCATTAATTTCATATATATAATAAAGTAATATATTATATATACACATATTTAATTTATACATAATTTGTATATATATATATATATTTTTTATAATTGTAAATAAAATTTATAAATTTTAATATTATAATTTTTTTAAAAATAATAAAATTTTAGTCTATTAATTCAAAATCAGATTGATCAAATTAATTATTTATTTAATCAGTTTGATATTTTTTTTTATGTTTGATAGGGTTTAATCAATTCTTTAAACATATTTAATTTTTTAGTATGATGGTGAAATCACTCAATCTGCCTATTTACTGGTTTTTATAAACAACAAAAAGTAAAGAAAGAAAGCAACATTTGCCAAATTTAGCAGAAGAATTTTTTGCTTTGAGGTGGTGTCATCTCATGTCCATTTCTGCCCGCCACAGGTACAACTTAAACAAAAGGCAAGTGACTGCAACTTGCAAATATCAGCAACCTTTCTTGAATTTTGCAATGCCTAACAGCAAAAAACTCATTATCAACACCTAACAGAGAAGAAATTCATAAAGAAAAAGAAATCCCACCCCCTGAATAAACAAAAGGAAAAGAAACGAGGGAAAACGAGACAAAATATCTTTTATTATCCTAAGAAACCAGAAGCCTCTTACAACTGACAACAGCACCAGAGAGAGAGAGAGAGACTCCTGTCAACAGCTAAATATGTATAGGCCGTGTGGACCATATCCTATGAACAAGTCCTTTCAGCTTTTTTCTTTCTAACCCACAGCTTGCGAGCACTTTTTCACCATCGCAAGGCCCACGATTTCACCTCTTTTCTTTCGATTCTCCTTCAAGGGTAAGGGAAATGTAAAAGCTACTATGCCTCCAAGTTCGGTATTAATTTCGACTTGGATTTGTCAAATTGATTGCTAAAGTTTTAGCCCTTCATCCTGACTCCACTATGGGATGTTGGGCCATTTTATAAGTGTGGATCGTTATTGAAAATCAACAAATTGAACAACTTATGTTTTGCTACAATTTTCCATTTTCCCTTTTCGGAGAAAACATATAAGTGTAATTCAATTGCATGCTTTATTTGTAATTTGCATATAAGCAAATTGGTTCATGAAAAACAAGTAACAAATGGTCCTTCCTCGTGCAACCAAGCAAAATATGAACCTTAGCAGCCATGTGCTGTTAAAAAGAACAACCCAATACCACTTGTCACACACCAAAAATAAAGAAAAAAAGAAAGACATTTAAAACATTTAATAAAGAGGAAATTTTATTATTAACAATAAGAAAAAGTCACAACAATTTTCCTAGAATAACCTAAATTCACCCCCGTTTTCCCTTAATTAAGGAAATTAGCCCTAAAATTAAGTTACTAATTGTGGGATTAGGGAGGCAGTGGGGGTGTTCAGTTTGCATGATACGGCGGCCGCCACTGGTCAACAGCGAGAACCGTTCCGTTTCGCTGCATTGCCTTTTGAGACACGTGCCCTCTTCGTCTCCGACGTTTCGGTGTTGACGTCGAAGCTCATGGCATCTCCGCCGACCATTTCCGCAAACATCCTTTGCAAATCCTCGAAGCTATCCCCCTAGATTAAAAGAAGAAATCCCATCGAAAAATATCCATCGGTAGTCGTTAAATCGTGAAATTACATATATAACCTTAAGAAAATGAAGAAAATTACGAGCAGACTACCTCGTCTTTCACGTTGTTCATCATCGAGATCATCTCTTGCATAAAATCACAGAAGTCCTGCAGGCGGTAAAAATGGAAATATAACACAAAAAAAAATTTACTATTAACGAAAAGATTAAATTAGAAGAATTGATATTGCCAAGGCAATCAAGTTCGCCGAAATCGAGGTAAGGACCGACGCCGTTTTAGTTGCGTTGTACGGGAAAAAGATTAACCTTGGCAGAATTAAAAAAAGAAGAAGATATTTTTACGTACTTCGTCTTCTTCTTCCAATGGATCGTAGAAACCGGCGTCGTACATTGATCTCTTGGTCTCGTCGGAGAGAACTGTGGATATTTAACGGCCGAATAAATGAATAACAATAAGCTACTGGAATTTAACGGCGACGGGATGATAGAGAGATAGAGAGAGAGAGATTTGAGAATGTTACCTGAATAAGCTTCTTGAATTTGCTGAAACCGGCGTTTCGCTTCTCCGGCGACCCCCGGATTTCTGGCGTATCTGTCCGGATGCCATTTCTTCATAAACCAAAACATAAAAAATGAAAGTTTCAAAATTTTGATTTCCCAAAAGGGACCCCCTAATATCTAAAATTAGAAACCAATTAAATAAAAAGAACGAGAAGATTCTTTTTTTGGTTTTGGATTACCATAGCAAGCTTACGATACGCAGTGCGGATATCAGAGAAGGAGGCGTCCTTGCGAATCCCGAGAACGGAGTAATAACAGGATCCGCCGTGGGATCCTCCTTCCCGATCCATCTCAGCCGTCCAAAACCGTCCCTGCGTCTCTCTCTCTCTCTTTCTCTCTCTCTCCGCCTTCCAAAATGAAAAACGGAACTACAAAAAGCTCATAGCTTGCTTAAAGCTTCGAAACCGAAACAGGTAAACACGAAATCAAATGTACTTAAACAAAGCTGGAACACTAGTCTTTGCTTTGTCGCTGTTGATTTTGTAAGGGGGTATTTGGGGACAGAGCGAACGAGAGAGAGAGAAAATATCTTGGGAAACTTTGTGAAATGTGAGAAGATATGAAGAAAGAAACTTCGAGAGATTTCGGCCTGAAGATAGTTCTCCGAGCTTAGATATTTTCATGGCGGGTTTTTGAAATGCCGCTGGACTTGCGTCCAAATTACGGGATTTGCCATTGGCCCGCTGTCACGGTTCCGTTTCTCTTCTGGTTGCGTAATCCAATATTGGATCTAAATCTTCTAAATTTTGGACGATTAAAATTATTAATTTTTTTAAAATTTTAAAAGATTTTAATTATTTTATTTTTATCCACGAATTATAAAATGTGATCAAATAATAATTACTATATCACATATAATGTATCTCAATTCACACTAAATTTTAAGATATTATTCGTTTTAACCTGTTAAAATTTACAATTATGTCATTTTAATTTAAAGATTTACAATATATAAATCAAAAAGAAGATTTTTTTTAGATTTTAAAAAAATAAAAACTCTTTTAAAGTAAAATGAAATAATTAAAATTTTTTTATTTAAGCTGTAAATAAATATAATTTTCAAGCCAAAAAAAAAAAGAGAGGTAAAAAAAAAGGTTGAAAACCCAATGTCAATTAAATGGTGCTTAAGTGATTTGTATTGTCATAATTGTTATTTTGACTTTTATGCCATGTGAAAAGGTAAAGATTCTCTTTCATCCAATCCGTCTATCAAGAGTGATTAGAACACTGAATCCAACACTTTTGACACGTGATTGCCTTGATCAAATCACTCTGATATTTGCATAATCGGATGGTTTGCAACGATTGCAAGCTTGAAAACTGGAAGAGTTGGGATTCCTGAAAGAGAAACATTAAGAATAAACTGGTTTCATAACCGATGATTGAAACTCTGGTAAGAAAGACATTTAAGAGTTCAGCTGGCTCAATCAAAGATGATTGGATGTTGTTCAACTTTCTATGATGGTTATTTGGATTATTGGGATTTGATTACCATTTCCAGGAAAAAGCTCAGGTTCATTATTACTCATGATTGCAACCATGGAAGATCTCATCATGCATTCACTTCCATGATCTTTATCTGCAAAAGCCAGAGAGACTGGGTGTTCAATTTTGATCAAGATCAGGTCATAGTATTATCAGTTTGCTAGTTTTCTTGTTTTATTTTCAACCCCCTCCTTTACCCCTTCTAGTTTGATCAAGATCTGGTTTGGTCTTTTGGGTTCAGATGCTAAGGGTAGCTTGGGAGCAAACCGCAGAAATTTCCAGGCCAAAAGGCTACATTGTAACTGTCCCCATAGCATTTGGTGGAAGCATGCAAGAAGCATTTTTGCTAGCAGAAGGGAAACAGGAAACTTACCTTGAATGGAAAAATTTTTGATGCAGCAATCTGTTGGTGTTTTTGCAGTTGAAGGGTTTTCTGCTAAACCCTGTTACCCTGCTGCTAAGAGAGTCCATGAATGAAAATATTATAGTATCAAATATATAGACCCTACTGAAAGTGAAAATCTCAGAATTTTAATTATTAGATTAATGATCTTGACTTTCAAACACTATTTACAAAGACCCTTTTTGTTGTACTTGTTACAACTTACAAGGATGAGAGCTTGGTGAGGAAGAGATTAGCTTCCAGCTCAAGGAGAATACTTGCCTCCTAATCTGATATGCTTACATACTAAAAGAACACAAAGCTTTTCAACAGGAAAAACACTACAGAATCTAATCTAAAACATCTAGGGGATTGTTTCTTCCTCCTGATTGCATGAAACTAGAGTAGATGCTATTTAGCAATTATCCTACACAAACTTGACCGATGAAAGCAGAAAAAACCTACAAAGCTAACCTAACATATCTTGGAGAAGCTTGGCTCCTAAAATTCTGAGATGATGCTTCATTGCTGCAGTCTAGTAATTTATATACATATGCCTTCAGGCAGCCAGAGCCTTAGCTCCACGTGTAATTAACTTCCACTGGATAACAGCTCGAAGCTTCAACCACCCAGCTTTGGGGCACACATCTCTGCCCTTTCCCATGCGTCGGCTATGTGCATCAAAGTTTGGGGAAGAAGTAAGGATGCCAAAGGATGATTCGCAGTCTGGAGTTAAAATAAATCCACTGCCTTGTCCCCATGCTGGAGTGACTGAAGCCCAACTTTGCATTTGAGCCTGAGGATTATCCTCGGTAGCAAAATGAAAGTCTGGCAAAAGTGACAAACTGTTGTCTCCATGGTAAGGGAAGATTCCCTCCATTCTGAAACTGTTTCTTAGCATCGGATTAAATGCCTGAATTCCGTGTCCATCCTGTGCTAGAGAAACCTGTGATTGATTGTTTTCTTCCACTCCATAGGCATAGGATGTTGTGGATTGGTTGAATCCCAGGGCTATGTCTGGTTGATCTGCATACATATAATGAATCAATGAAATCAGAATAGTAGTAAAGAGAATCTGGCTGAGAGCAAGAAAAGTTATGGAAAGGTGGGTGCAAAACGGATCTCCACAAATTTCATTATGTGCTGACAATTCAATATACTAGAAGTTCTTATACCTTGGTTGGCAACTGAGAAATCAGGTTGCTGCAGGAGTAAATTTGGGATGCTAACTGGCTCAGGAAGTAGATTTGTCAGGGTCATTGAGGGGCCAAAAATTGCTTGCCGATCAGTCAAGACCAGGTCTCCAACATTCTTGTAAGCTTGTCGCTTTGCATCTTCCACCAGAAGCTGCAAATTAAGTGGAGGAATCAGTCAATCTTAACTCAGATGGAACACATCTCTATTTTTGTGTAACTATATCAGTTTGCTGGATATGAAACACAAACCTTCTGAGAAAAGGTCAATTTTTCCACAGGCTGGTAATTTTGGCCACCAAATGTTGCTGCTACAACCTTGAAAATGGAATTTAACAGGAGTCCAACCCTTTGTTGAGCTCCATAGTAGGTATGGGTATACCACTCATTATCATCTAGAACACAAGTCAAAGCATGTTCTATGATCGTATCCCACACCCTATTTGAGATTCCACCACCGAGTATCTGCAGTAATGTCACCAATTCAGTTAGGACCAGCAGGAAAAAAAGGATAACAGAGAACAGCATGCACCAAGACAACAACATGCTCGAGTGCTCTGATTGACATGAGCAAATTATTCACTTACATCGCGTAGCGCAGATGGATCAGTAACATGCAACCGCAGGAAATCCTTTACTGTACGAATATTGTTAGAAGCCAGCCGCGTCTGGAAGGCACCATCTTTAGCTATCCTTTCTAGACGCCACACTTCATCACGCTGGGATGGAGGGTGGTGTTTCTTGTACACTGCATGAATCAATTCCATGTCAATTCTCAAAAATCATTCATAAATTCATTTACAAATAGAATAACAGAAACTGAATGTTGAAATAAAAGCAATGGAAGAACTTACACTCCCCACGATGGTCCTTCACCACGAATGCTTCACTTCTAGCCTCTCTGATCGTCACCTCACCAGAGATCCTTTGCACAATTCTAGCTCCTAACCTGAACTTTCTACTCCTTATCCAGCTAGAATTGTCAGTGAAGATCACATTCTCGACAGTTCCCACCCCATCTGCCATCGTAACATTGAGATCTCCCGTCAACAATGGCCTTTTACCTTCCCTTTCGCGAAGAATACTTGCGTTGAATTCAGTTTCTGTCCAGTCTTCCCGCTCATCAGCACCAAAATCACCATTGAGGACCACAATCTCAACCTTAAGAGAAGACAGTGGACCAGATGTGACAATTGTATTGCTAGTTGCATCAACTAGGACAATCCTGACGGGATTGCCCTCCTCAGCTTCAACCTTGGCGCCTGTAAATATGGTAGGGGGCAGTTTATCGACAAAGCGCAACTGCAAGCTTCTCCCTCTAGATGCCTCAATATGATTGAGCGAGGGTCTGAAAACCAGAAAACCATAAACCAAAGTTTAGACAAGGATCCATAGAGAAATAATGGAGCTTTACAATCCCCACCCCCCCACTTTTCAGCAAAACTACAAGCAGAGCAAGCTGAAGTTAAATTCTGAGAGTTTTGCTGATCCTAGCCGATGAAAATTAACTGTTCATACAGTCAAAATCCTTGAACACATGTTCCAAGAAGATAGATATACAATAGCTTACCTTGAAGATGGGTGAGAGGAGGATAGAATTCCACGTTCCACTTCCTCCCGAACCTGATCATATTCACCAACGATATGCAAAAGAATTAAAACTACAGAGATATGCAGCTAAAAGTATAAACAACACATTCAGCTAAAATATTGATCAACATTAAAACATCATGCATGCTTGGGCAGAATGATGAAATTGGCCAATTTTACTGTAATCTTCATTGAAATCATCACTAGCCTCATCTTTTTGAAATTCTTTGTATCAGTAGTGTTCCCTTTCCAAAAAGCACAAGTCAACAACTACTGTTCAACTGTTTGAATCTGCTTAAAAAACGTGTTGAAATTTATAAACTGAGAGCTAATGCAAACCAAAATGACATCTTGATCGAACTGGATCAAACCATATACCAGCTAGCCCCTGAAAGACAAAAGAAAGAACAGCAAATTCCATCTTAGATTTTCTTACCCAAGATCGAAGCATTGGTTCCAGGTTGAGCACAATTCTTTTCAGGGAGAGCCCTCCCAATCCTATTAAGTTTCTAGCACCACTGCAGGGAAAAAACAAGAACCCAATTCAGAAAACATTGCAAACATCAGCTTGAGATGTTGGGAAGAGAAAGAAACAAACCAAAACCACTCATCACCTCCAAGAGCTCTTCAGGGTAGCTCTTCTTTTGGGATCAGGAACCATTACTCCCAACCTCTCATCACCTCCATCAGTTGCAGACCTCTTGATAGGCAACATCATGAACAACAAAGAAGACAACTCGAAAATGACTTGTTAAGAGACAAAAAACTAAACCTTTTGAGCATCTAAAGCCTTAACCGCAGCCAGTAACCGAAACCTCTCGCCACCCGTACTCTTATAAGCAATTGCTTTCATTGACTTACAAAGTCATAGAAGATACCTGGAACCTCACCCAAAACACTGTTACTAAAACACGTTAAGTCA